TGAATTTAACGTATAATTTCCACCATAAAACTGCAAACCTGTGGCTTTATCAGATTCAGTAAAACTACCAATGCAAACAGGAGGTTCGGTGGCACGAGTCAGGCCATGTTAAATATTCAAACAGATAATCATCTGTGGATTAGCCTCGTTTTGGCTCGGAGGACTCCACTTGACAATTGACTCTCTGTCGAAATGGTGCAACCAGGAGAATTTTTAAACCCTTCTGTGAGTTTCCCCTCAAACACCTTTGGTCACTTTGATTTTTATTTTAATTTTTTATTATTCTCCAAGAGTTTAATTTGAGCTGTATTTGAAAGCATACATTTAGTGTGCAAAAATAAATACTTTTAAAAAGAGTTGTAAAAATTGCAATTATTCAACACTATACGCTAATAATGAAACCTTTTCTGTTCCATAGATTCAGTCCTGTTAAAGGGGGGATATCTGAGAGCTTTTTAAGATTGATCGAACATGATTTATTTCACCTTCTGTCCAATCTTAATACACACCAAGATAACTACAATTATTGAAAGTTATTGCAATTGTATAAGTCTTCAGGAGATAAATCGACCAACTGACCATGTAACTCCTGAAGACTTGAACATTACACTCATTCGATCAAAGACTGTTCACTGGCTGGCCTGTACTTGATAATATGGAAATATGCTACCTTAAAATGCTGCTGAACGTTTTTGAACACAATTGCTGCTGCTTTATCAAGCTATGTGAACTATTTGCCCGGACTCAATAGTTCCTTTTGTCTTTTGTTTAGACCTTTTGTAAATCTGAACCAAGGRCACCAAACAAAATTTCATTGGGCATAATGACAATAAAGATTYTTGATGGTCTTGACTTGACGTGCGGCCAATTGGAAAGTGAGGTGACAAGAATAMAGAAGACAAAACAACTAACAGAAAGTCCGTGGTTTCATTCATTCCTTCATTCCTTCATTACTTCTTCCTCGTCGGCCCTGTTTTCTCTGAACTCACGTTTAATCCTGAGAGATATTGCGAGATTTCCCATTGGACCAAAGGACCAAACCTCTATCTATGATTTTTGTTATCATCATTATGGAGTCTCTCAAGTTTTGAGAATCAACTACCAATTTTAAAAGATAGATAGGTAGGTAGGTAGGTAGGCAAGCAGGCAGTCAGGCAGACGTTATTGTCTGTCCCAAAGGCAACATAAAATTGTCTTCAACAGGGCTTCACGTTAAAAAAACATACAATACAAGCAATGACAGAGTGATAATAAAACCCATATCCATACAAAACAACCAAAATWAAAACAGTCCTAAAAATGGGGGGTGATGTATGCCATGTTTATGCCAAGTGAACCTTACTGTACGGTTAACACTAAATGGCGTTCGGCCTGAATCATTTATTATCAGCTCTAAAACAGAAGCTTTGGCATTTTAAATATGTTCATCAGACTGTGGATCCCCCTTTTTGAAATGATAATGTTTATAAATCTCCACATCTTTAGATATCCATCTTCCATTGTGACTTTCTTTTTTAAAATCAAAGGCCATTTGAGAGCGGGAATCAAAACATTATAGTCATATTCAGCTTCTGTTGCCCTAATTGGTATGAAGAGTACAATCTGATAAGCTGTAAAATCGTGACTTACATGCAGCTTTACGAGAGACAGAAATAACATTTATGAGCATGTATTCCCTGCCAAAAACTTATTTTCTTTCTCTCTCTCTCTCTCTCTCTTGGCATGAGTTTCCACATTATGAAGTCTCTATCTGCCTCGTAGCTCCTGCACCTGCACTTACCACGAAATCTCRACTAAACTGCCTTTTTTTTAAAACCAAATAATAAACTCCACCTTGTTGAGATTTAGTGTTTTATAACCAGCCACAAAGCCACCTACAGTTAAACGCCCATGTTGCCCCTATATGCCGATCTGTGCCGTGCCGCTCCATCTGGGCCGTGTGAGGTCACTGCACACGCCACCTGCTCCGATCAGGTTCTCGCCTCGGCTCCTGGGTGGCAACTCGGGCACGTGTAGAGAGGCAGATGTATAGATTTAGTGCTACAAATGCCCTGAGATAACCATAAACACACACACATGCGTAAACATCGGTGTGTGTTGTTTTACGGCGGATGACTGGCTCGCTCTCGCACGATCCGTACAACTTAACATTTTCAGTCGCAGAGCGTTTTTATGGGTTTCTGTGCAATTTTGTGTTTAATGAGACTTACTGTATGTGGTTCACTAATTTAGGAAGACAATTGCTCTTTGCATGCTCAGGTGGACTTAATGGGCTTACAAGAGTAAAAATTGGATTGGGGTTAGCATATTCCATGGAGTGAGTCTCTCATTACAGGAATGTATTGTCAGAATTTACCTTCATAAAAACAGTGTCCGTGCAGGAAAAAGGAACAAAAGAAAGAACAATTATTTTTAACAAGCACTATTTATTCTAAATCTGATTGCGCAATTAACCGGATCGCCAGGAAAAATCCCAACGTGACCAATAACAGAGACAAATAACGGAGACAATAACATTTAGCAGGGAGAGACAATTACTCCAGCACTAAAACCCGTCAGTCCTCCCAACAGGATAAAAGAAAAAAAGCCAACCATGTTTGACATATCCACAAATAGTTTGTTTTTATTTCACCGAGGTCATGTTGCCTATACACATCCTGTTGATACTGTATACACGACTCGTACTACCACCTGTCCTTTTCATTGTCTCCGAATAGACAAAGAAATTTGGCCCAAAGGACTTGAGTTGCCTCGTTTGAGCTTTCCCACCCTAAACAAAAGAAACCGATTCTTCCAGTCTTGGCTGGGGATAAATTGTTCCAAAGGAGAGTTGTGTTGTTATTCTGCGGCTCATTTGGAATTAGCTTGAAGGGATGTGTCRAGACGTTTTCATGAGGTCTGTGAAATGTTTATGAGCTATTGCTACGTCACACTGCAGGCAAACACGACCAAAATCTGATTTTTTTTTTTGCCTCATGCGACCCATGTCCAAATTTTTTTTCCTGACAATCTGAATGTGACAAATCTGAGTTTTTCAAAGAAAGTTCAGTCTGAACTCTCATCTCATTTCATCCAACTTTTACTTCAGTGAGGTGGGGGTGAGTGGATCGATCCAAATATTTAGAATATTAATACCAACATTGTTTCAATCTTGTAACTCCACACGTTTCCAGCTATGGAATTGAAGTCTAGTTGCTTTGTCTTTGTTCTTTTTATTTTCCTGATGATCATCCAGGACACGGAAATCCACAGAAATCTAGGATACTAACCTTGGTCTCGAACCGTATCAATACTAAAGTTACTGGATCAGTACTTTAGTTTTAGCATGTCACTCCCATTCCAAAAATAGAATACTGCCCCAGTGCAGCTGACCAGAGGAAGGTTCAAATGTAAACGGTGAACAAACATGTCAGATAATTATTTGATCTGCACAACTTCAGAATCGACATGCTAACATGTAGCATCCAAAAGCTACATCTGTAAACACTGAGCTGAATGTGACATCATCAGTGCTGTGAGGGGTTCAYACTGGAGTCTGATGGTCTCATTTAAAATATAATGTGAATGACCACGCAAAAACATCTGATTTAAAAACAATAATGAAAGAAATAAAAAAACGAGAACTGAGCATTAAGAGCTTGCTGCTAAAGTAGTTTAATTTTGACCAGGTGTTAGCTCATCAACCTGGTCAAAATTAAACTTTTTTCTCTAAACTGAAGTTGTTCAAAAGGTTATCTACAACAGGTAAGATGTTAATTGTTCATAACCTTTCCAGTCACTCTTAAACTATAAATTTGAACTTATCATGACTGCAGGACAACTTGTTGGTTTGTTTCTGTCACTGAAAACGTGAACAAAAGGCATTTTTAACATAACTGTTTGACTTTAAAGCTTAATTGTCTAAGGTGGCATTAATGTTTTTGCTAAGTTTTGTGTGTTCATATCTTTTGTTGTGTAACTAAATATCTCATGCACCACTGGACACATTTAGATGAAACTCTCAGAAATTAATAACTGGATGTGTCTTTACCAGTTATTACTTTTTGGATGCCATTATGCATGATACCCACTTACCATCATATCAGAGATTTAGCTCATTTATTTGTTAGAATGACTGAGTTATAAACATTTTTATGTTACCGAAACTCATTTAGCTGTGGCAGCCACCTTGAGTTGGATTAGGTCCAAATGATTATCAGGTATGATCAATTTTTGCAAGTTTACCTAAAGTTCATCCAGCGGTTCATGAGATATTTTGCTAACAGACAAGACTCCAACTACTGTTGCTCAGTTTTTTAAATTAAATATTTTATGAACGCTACAACCACCCTAAATTTTAGCCCAATATTTGTGAAACTGACCAAATTATAGCCATTTTTGATTTCTACAGTCAGTTAGCTGTGGCAGCCATCTTGGATTGTGTCCAAAGATTAATCACTTGTAGAGACATGCCCAATGACTGATTTTTGAAAGTTTCATAAAAACSTGACTGATGGTTCATTWGTTATTTTGCTAACAGACAGACAAAGTTRACTCCAGTGGTTGATGCCAAAGTTTTAAACACAGATGTCACATGATCAGWTGGTGCTTAAGRTYTMAGTTGTGGATAWGTCTCYGCTACTACCACACCAAATATTAGTTTTAAATCTGTACAATTGACTGAAGTACAACTATTTATATGTTACATGAGGATAATCAGCTGTGGCGACTATCTTAAGTCGAGATGTCTCCAAAATCAAATCATTTATAAATATCCATCTAATGATCACTTCAGGAAAGTTTTATGAAAATCCGCCCAGTTGTACGTTAGATATTTTGCTAACAGACACGACAGACAGGCTATTTGAACTGACGTATAACAGAATGCTTCTTGTGTTTGATGCACGCTGTGYTTTAAATGGGCAGATTCTGAGCTGGTTTTAAGGTGGAACTTTTTTTTTCTCTTCGCCTCAATCTTGCGCGCKTGTGTGTACGCGCGTGTCTCTGCGTGTGTGTGGATTATTTTTTTCTTTTTTTTTCCTCCTTACTCCTGCCAGACTCCGCCCGCTCCCCGCGCGTCACCCGGCCGAGTGGAGCGGACGCGGAGTCACTCCCCTGCCTACTTTTAATAGCTTTGTCATGTGATGGAAAGCAGTTGTAAGACAGGTGCCCTCGGTTCATTCTCGGCGAGGGGCAGCAGTCGCCTGCGTGAGAGCGAGTGGGAAGCGCGAGTGGATTTGGCTTTTTTTTTTCTTCATTTCTTTTTTTTTTTTTTTTTTTTTTTTTCCTTTTTTTGTTTTTGGGGGGTTTTCGGGGACCGTCATTCACAGTGGCTGAATGGCGTGGGACAGGTGTAACCAGGACTCTGTGTGGAGAGAATTAGAGGTGAGAAAATAATAATCCCGACTTTTTCTTTTCCCTGTCTTTTCTATTTTTATTTTTCAACCTTTGGAAACCTTCTTTAAAAAAAAAAAAAAAAAAATTCTGGAATCATGGACAAGTCTCTGCTGTCCGAGACTCACCGGTGTTGGTGCGCGTTTGGACGCGGCTGAGGATGCGAAGGATCGATCCACACGCGCGCACACACACATATATATCTGACAAGAGGGGATCTTTATGATGTTGCCAGAAACGTTGCACGGGGGGGTTCAGGACCATCTATTTTCTCTCATTTAGAGGATCTGCTCAGTGCGTGCGTGCTCCTGGTGCAGAGAGGTGCTTTCGGCTCGAAATGTCTCGAAGTCAGGCTCCCACGGACGTACCCCCCCCCCTCCCCCCCCCCCTTTCCTCTGATGAATGTCTGGAGAGGTGTTGTTTCTGGAGCTTTTTGCGCGCGGTGAGGCGTGTTTTGGCGCAGGAGCATCACCGGTTCTGAGCGGGCTGMGCCGGCAGCCAGCATCCAGAGCGGCGCATGGAGCGCAGCCTTATGGGAGAGCAGCAGCCTCCAAATAAAGTCGGTGGTTTTGTTTTCATGTTGGGTGATTTAACGCAGATTCCTTTCCTGTTTAATGTCTCCAGTCGACTTTTATTGTCTTATCTTACCTGGCTGAAGGTATTTTTTTTTTGTAAATAACTGGAGGCTTTGTCGGCATGAGTTCTTTGATGTTTCAGTTGTCATGAAATCGCTGCAGTCTGGTTCGTGCATGACAAACTTGCATAATAAAGATTATTGTTTGGAAAGGTTCGCCATAATTCAGCTTCAGGGGGAGTTTGATCTCAAAGCGTTTTTTAAAAATCCATTCTTGGTTTTGTTTGTGCTTTTATTTTATTTATTTTTTTGTTGTTTACATTTTTTATTTTGCATGTTTGCAGATTAAAAGCTGCCATCAGTGCTTCAGCTGATAACCATGATCCAAGCAGGTGTTTTCATGCGCGGCGCTGTGCGTAAATCACCGGAGCGCTGCGCTGCGTGCTGCATGGTCTGTGGAGCTGGATGGCGGCGCTATTTCATTAGTTTGCTCAAGGAATTCAGCAGGAGATAAGAGAGCACAGGACGTCCAGTTGTCAAAATACTTGAACGCTTTTGGTTACAGTTGTGTCCTGTCGGACTGGATCGGAGCCCTCAGAGTTTTCGTCTCACCGTGTGCTGCTGGCAACATTCTGAGGACATGAACTGTGACACCGATGTCTGGACGGGTTTTCTCCCCCACTTGGCACAGCGTCCTTCTCTCTAAGCTTTGCCCTGAGTCAAACCCCAACTCGAAAATCTGTGGGCCAAATACCTCATGGCTTTGCCCAGGGATATGTGTCTTATATCTTTCTTGATGCCTCCCTGTGGCGTTCTTAAACGCCTGATGCGGTCCTCTGCTTTATTATGTGTGTTTCAACTAAGACATCAGGAGAGGGTTGGATTCATGACTGTGTGAGCAAAGAGTCTAAATATTTTTTAACCCTAAATGAAAAAAACAAAACAAAACAAAAAAAATGGCAATGACAAAGTCTGGTAAAGTGCTGCAAATTTCTTCCTGTTATTTATGGTTTCAGTTAGTTTTCCAAAGGTTTAAACAAAGGCTGCACAATATATTCAACATGTCATCGCACAATCATGTAG